GGATGTCCTTATGTCTCCTTGGATTTTAAATGATAGCCTGGCTGGATAAAGTAGCCTTGGTTGTAGGTCTGGTTTTTCATCACCTTGAGTATTTCACATCACTCTCTCTGGCCTGAAATGTTTCTGTTGAGTAATCAGATGCCAATCTGATTGGTGCCCCCTTGCAGGTAACTACCTACTTTTCTCTTGCGGCTTTTAGGATTCTCTCCTTGTCTTTAAGCTTTGTCATTTTAATCATGATGTGTCTTGGTGTAGGCCTCTCTCAGTTCAACTTGTTTAGGACATTCTTAGCTTCCTGGACTTGTGTGTCTTTTTCCTTTGCCAGGTTAGGGAAGTTCTCAGTCATTATTTCTCCAGATAGGTTCTTGATCCCTTGCTCACTCTCTTTGCCTCCTGGTACTCCCATAATGCAGATGTTGTTATACATCATGTTGTCCAAAATGTTTCTCAAACTCTCTTCATTTTTTTAAATTCATTTTTCTTTCTGCTGCTCTGCCTGGATGTTTTTTTGTTTTCCAAAACACTGATTTGATCCTCTGCATCAACTTGCCTACTGTTTATTCCTTGCAGTGTATTATTTATTTCAGATATTGCATTCTTTATTTCTGACTGGTCTTTTTTTCATGCTGTTGAGTATCCTTATAATCATTACTCTAAACTCTCTGATAAATTGTTTGCCTCCATTTCATCTAGCTTTTCTTCTGGAGAATTTTCTTGTTCTTTCATTTGGGATCTGTTTGTCTTCTCATTTTGGCTCTTTGTATTTTCCACCTTAATAGTAAAATGAATCCATTGTTAGACTGATCAGTTCTTAAACTAACCCAGCTGTAATTACTAGCACCACAGGGTAGAGCAGAGTAATTACTGTGGGTGCGCCTATTGCTTCCCCTCAGGCTGATGTCATTCAGAGAGGAGTGCTCTGCCTGAGAGACGTGGCTCCTGCACTTTCGGAATGACTCAGCACAGGGATCCTGGTGGCTGTTCCTTCAGTTCTCTCCCCTGAGCCACCAACCCCAGACTCTCCTCAAGAAGCATCTCTAGTTCACTCTGTCCCTCCCTCTGGCAGAGCCCAGGGTGAGTGGCTGCAAATGAAATTTTGTGCATTGGCCCTTGAAAAGGCTCTCTGAGTCTTCAGCTGTCTCTCCCTGCAGACAGAAACGCTGCTGCTCTTCACAGCTGGGTGTTATCCAGGCTCCTCTCTGGCTCTGGTGCTGTAGGCCGGGGAGTTCAGCTTGGGGTTTGGACCCCACATGTCTCAGGGGGTCCCTCAGGCCCTTGAAATACCCCTCTGCACTTCAGCTGCTTCCAGTGGGAGTCCACCCAGACCTTCCACGTCTCCTCTGCTCTGCCCACCAGTCTTGTGGTGAAGTGGTTTTTTTCTGTCTGTCCTTGGTTATAAAGCTTTTCTCCAGCCAGTGTTCAGTTGGTTATTCAGGATGATTTCTCTACAATTTGGTTGTAATTCCATACTGGTCCTGAGAGGAGGTTAGTGTAGCTTCCACTTACTCCTCCTCCATCTTAGGTCGTTTTTGAAACAGGAGACACATGAGAAGCATCAACATCAGTCAGGGGCAGAAGGCAGAGATGAAGGAGCAAATATTTTTTTGAAGACTCAACACATTTTTCCATTTCATGAAAGGTGACTTACGAGTGCACCTGCACACACTGCACTGAGTGTTCAGCAGTTTTGGACCAAAAACGACATGACTCCCCTGCCCCACCCTCCCCATTCACCCTATCTTTCCCTGTGCAACTTTCTTTTGTTTCCCTGGATGAAAAAAATCCTCAAAGGGAAATGTTTTGCCAATGTGGAAGAGGTGGAACAAGCAAACAAACAAACAAAAAAAAACAGCAGAAGCACTAAAAGGCATCAAAATCGATGAGTTCAAAAAACTGTTTTGAGCAGTGGGAAAAAAGTCTCAATAGGTTTATTGCATCAAATGGAGAGTAGTTTGACAGTACTGAAGTTTAAACATGTAAGAATAAATACACAATTTTTTATAAATAAATTTCAGGTTTTTTGAGTCCTCTCATACATAATACACAAATTCCATTAAATAGCTACAGCTTTAAAATACTCTTAAATACCTAGTAGGTCTACTCACTGACTCCTTTATTCATGTCATGTTCATATTATTTCCAGCTATGTTCTCATTTTTATTTAAGTTAGTTTTCAAATATTTTACCAAGCAGTAAACAATCAACAAACATGTTGGCATCTTAATTGAAGCCATAGGAAATTTATAAGTTATTTTTTAAATCGTTATCATCCACATTCGATTGAATCTTGCTACCTCAGAACAAGATGTGTCTATTGTTTTGTTTGAGTCACCTTGTGCATTCCTCACTAGAGTATCTTATTTGGGGTTAATATATCTTGTATATACAGCTGATGTAAAGGACCTTATCATACACTGATGTTGGGAACCGTCCCACCTGGTTTCAGGGACAGTAGCCTCGCCGACAGGTAAGAGGGCCCCAAGGCTGGAGCTGAGCGAGAAGGTGTTGGGAAAATAGGCCACTGAGGAGACAGAACCTGTCCCCCTGGAAAAGGATGCACCCTCACATCACCCTGCTTGGCCCCGGAGGATGGTTGGTTAGTCAATGATGGGTAAGACCCCTCGATGCCAGGGCCAACCTAAGACAGGCACAGTCGCATGGAGGCCATCAGGGAAGGACTTGGGGGACACAGAGAAGGGGCAAAAGACCCTCACCCCCCTCGGCTTTGTCATGGCCAGAGTCCTCATTTTACCTGAAAGAAGTCCCTCATGTCTTGGCTGCTGTGCTCCCCAGCCTGACTCAGGTTTGAAACAATGCTAGAGGCAGGTACAGCCCTAAACTAGATCAGGCAGTTCCCGGGGACAATTAGGTCTGGAAAAGGAATGCATTAAATCCTATTAAACCTGCTTGCTTTGCTAAGAATGCCCTCGAGTTAATGAGTACTGGTGTTTGGGGTCCAAGCATAGGATGAGTTTATTTTCCCAGGTTTTAGGGCCAAATGGGCGTCACTCTGTGTACCAAATCCTGACTCAGAAAGACTTATAATCCCTTTACTGTTATCCTTAAACCATATCTCCTTCCTTTAATCATTACTGTTTAACATTGATTGATGAGCTTTACGCACATGCTAGTATCCCTATACAAGTTAAACTCTATGAAAGCCCAAAGGGAAAGGTGCTTGGGGCTCTTCTCCTCTGAGAGATTAGCCAGCCTTTCCTCCCCAAGCAGATCTTGCGTTGGGCACTTTCATTTCGTCCGCGATGCTGGGGGACAGAGCAGGATGGAGCTCCCCCTTCATATTGATTCAAAGTTGGAATGAACTCTCCTGTGAAACAGGGATTACTCCATTACTACATTTGTTTAGGCAAAAGGTATATACTATTTTGTCAGGGGCATCATAGAAAACATCACTGCATTGAATAAATTAATAAATATTAAGAAATTTAAGGTTACATGCTATGTATCCTAACCTATCTGAAGTAAAACAATAGCTATTACAAATGATGGCATCTTCATTTTAAATTTGATGACTTGTAGAAACAGAGGAATTCAGCACCATGGTCTCTCTCTTTTGGCTGTTAAGTGGTTGTCCATAAATTTAAACTTATGTTTATAAGAATCCAAATAAATGTGGCCCCCTCCTACTGCTCCATCCCAAACATGTTGGTAGGAAACTAGGAAAAGCATTTGATATTTTCCCTGTGTTTCTCTTAGGAAGACAAGACATACGCACAAGGAACACCAAAATAGTCTAAGACAGCACATGCTTAAGTATTTATTAATAATTGTCAGAAATATTATAGGTTACGGGAAGGAAAAGAAACACTGTGAGGTAAAACATTTATAGAGGGTTTGTAGAGGAATTCAAGTTCAAACTTAACCATAGAGAGCAGATGTATGACAGCAGAGATAAAGGAATCCATTCCTGTTCAAAAATGGAATCAGAGAGAGATTATGGCAAATTGAGATGATCAAGCAACCAGCATCCTAAATACGAAGAGTTTCTTCAGGGAGATAAAGACATTATGATAATAATGGAAACAGTTTACACATAATTTTACATATCAGACAGTGATATAATTTATGCCTTAGGCAGTGAGGAACAGTAAAGGGGAGAGACCAATTAAAACATGTTGTTTTAAGAAGACCAACACGTTACAGAAGTGCATGAGTGATAGGACATAAAACACCACTGTGAAAATATAGGTATAAAATATGCAGAGTCAGGATTAAGTAAAATTAAGTAAAATAAAATATAAATAACTAGTTTTTTAAAATCCACATAATGCAACATCTAATTACGTTTAAGAGGTACAGAATGAAAGAGTTAAAGAAAACTCTTAATTATCAACTCAGGCTCGAGAATAAAGGCATAGAAAAACATTTCCCAAAAGGTTGAAATAAAGCTCTGTAGGAAGAGTATGAAATGTACTGCATAATTTGTCCTGATAATTATCAGTCAATTCTCTCGGGCTTCATTGCCATACACCTGAGAGTTGGTTGTGGGTAGCCGAAATCCCAAAGAACTCGCTGTGGGTGAGAAGTGGATGGAAGTGCTGTGCTCCTGGCTGATGTAACAGCACCTAAACTCTGGGCAATTCTCCCCAAACGATGGCATGCAACCCTTGATGACACACGGCATTTTGCACCTGCTTATCCGCATCTGCAGTACGACAGAGGGAACTGGGAGAGCAGAGACTGACAATTCTGGAATGTTTGCAAAATAGATATGCTCCATGAGAGTAGGACTTAATCCGTATTTGTAGGGCCATCATTTAGAAATTATATTTCTCCAAATAACCTTTACAGTCTTTTATGTGCCTCCAACAGATTGTTGATCCCACGTTGAAAGATTCACTTTGAAAGAGAAGCAAGGAAACACTAGAACAAGCCAAAAGCGTGAATCCACCTACCTGTGCTGTGTTTCGTTTACGGACAAGACCAAGATGGCACAATCTAACGTTTAATGGCATTTCAGGAAATGGGAATGGCTACTTTTTATGTTCGTTGATGTTGCTTTTGTTGCAAAGGGAAGAACTAACCGCTCTGCGGTGTGACGGTCATGGCGCCGGAAGACCCCAACCAGACCACGGTAAGCCACTTCTTCCTGGAGGGTCTGAGGTACGCAGCTGAACACCCCCGCTGTTTCTTCCTCCTTTTCCTCCTCACCTACACCATCACCTTGGCTGGGAATCTTGTCATTCTCATAACTGTGGGCTCTGACCCTCACCTCTGCTCCCCTATGTACCACTTCCTGGGGCACCTCTCCTTCCTGGACGCGTGTTTGTCTACCGTGACCGTGCCCAAGGTCATGGCAGGCCTCGTGACGCTGGAGGGCAGGGCGATCTCCCTGCAGGGCTGCGCGGTGCAGCTTTACTGCTTCCACTTCCTAGCCAGTACCGAGTGCTTCCTCTACACAGTCATGGCCTATGACCGCTACCTAGCTATCTGCCGCCCCCTGCATTACCCAGTCGCCATGACCAGGCGGACGTGTGCAGGGCTGGCCGGGCTCACCTGGGCCATAGGTGCCGCGCACTCTGCCATCCATACCTCCCTCACCTTCCGGCTGCTCTACTGTGGCCCTGATCACGTCGCGTACTTCTTCTGTGACATCCCGCCGCTGCTGAAGCTGGCCTGTGCAGACACAGCCGTCAACGAGCTGGCCATGCTCGCCAGCATCGGGGTCGTGGCAGCCGCTTGCCTGATCCTCATCGTCTTCTCCTACGGCTTCATCGCCGCGGCGGTGCTGCGCATCCGCAGCCCCGAGGGCCGGCGGCGCGCCTTCTCCACCTGCACCGCCCACCTCACGGTGGTGTCTCTGTACTACCTGCCGCCCGTCAGCATCTACCTGCAGCCTCGCTCGGGCGGGGCGGCGGCCGGCGCCCCTGCGGTCTTCTACACGGTGGTCACGCCCGCGCTCAACCCCTTCATCTACACTCTGCGGAACAAGGCGATCCAGCAGGCGCTGCGCAGGCTTCTGGGCCGCGGGTCTGCCGCCGGCGGCCCACCCGCCTAGCCGGGGCTGGGGCTCTCCCGATCGTCCCCCCAGCAAGTCCGCGGCCCTCCTACGGAAACGAGGGGAACCGTTCAGCGGAAACAGGGAAGCGCGTCCGCTCAGCCAGGAACTTGGTTCCTCCCTTTGGTCCAGGGACGTGTCTTCCCTACAGGTGAAGCCACAAACTCTTCATCCATAAAATGGATTCGGTGATAGCTAGAGTATTTCCAAGATCTATGGAAAGAGCTATCTATGTTCAGTGGTTCGGAGGTATGTGAATGTCCTCTTTCATTGTGCTAAACGATTCGTTTTTATTTCGTATGAAATGATTTCATTAAATAGTTAACACATTAAAGAATACTGGTAACAAAGGTATGTCCAAACAACAAATGAAACTCTGCACATGTATCACCTTGATTAAGAGGAAAAAAATACGTTTCCATGATAATAAAGTACAACTACAAAGACAAAAATGACTTGCCCAAGGTCACTTGGAAAATGTCATTGTCTATTCTACAACTCAAAATGGTATTTAACTAAAGTGGTAGAAATGTCATGGATTTTGAAGTCAGTGGCACCTACCCGTCACTAGATCATGATCCGACCAGTCACTAGATGTATAATCTTGTGCAAATTTTATATTACTTGGTGTTTCAATGTCCTCTTTTAATAGTGGGGTTAAAAATAACAACTTTGTAGCACCTGATGAAGACTAGGTTAAGGACCTGATGCAAACTAGATGACCCACTTCTTCCTAAGCAGGTTCGAGAAGCCCGAGGGAGCTCGTTATACGAGCTCAGGCGCAAACTGTCTCTGAAGAGCCGGCAGCGCTGTGATCCCGTCACTGAACGTGGGAAAGGGCAACTACGGAAAAAAAGACACGTCTGGACCCCCAGGTGCCCGGAGATAACGGCAGGTGAACATTGAAGCAGCAGGCCATGACCGGCGCCATCGCACTGCTTTGTTCGGTTTTTTTTAAGTGCGTGAATGACCTTGAAGTACTCTGCGGACTGAAAAGTCCTTGCAGGCCACCGTAAAAAGTTTGGATTTTACACTGGGATTATGCCTCTGTATTTCTCTCCTTCTTCTTCTCCTCTTCCTCCTCCTTCCTCTTTTCTTCCAACTCGCAAAATAAGAAGCCACATTTTTTAAACACTAAATCATGGGATAAGTGAGAAGAGAGATTAAAAAGAGGCAAGTGTTAGAGTGACCAGTTAACAAACTATCATAACATCCTAGACATGAGAGAAAAGATTGTTTAATTCGTGTGATGACATTGGAGATACAGAGACATTTTGCAAAATAATGTTATAGGTATTTTAAAGGGAAGAAAATAAAGAGAAGGTGAAAATTAAAAGACTGTTAAAGCTGAAATAATAAATATAATCATTTTGGCTCACATATGTGCAAGGCACTGTGTCAGTTACTTTTTCTATATTGTTTCTCCTTAGACCTACATTTTAGTACAATGTTATTATTTACATCATACAGATAAGGAAACTGAGTCTAAGAGAAATGAAGTAACTTTTCCAAGGTCATGCAACCAGTGGTATTTGGAGCCAGCATCTCCATTCAAAACTGTACGGCTTCAGAGACCACACATTTTGATGGTGCTGGAATACCTTAGAGAGACTCAACCTTCCCACACTGTTTATGAACTCCCAATTACATTAGGGGTCTCAGAGTCATTTTAGGCCTTTAAGCAATAGTGGACCCCTTTAGATAAGAATTCCCTGACCTTTAAACGGTGCCTAGTTCTCTATAAATGCAGGCCTGAACCTGGCATTCCTGGAAAGAAGAAAACACATCAAGAAGAAGGAGGAGGAGGGGGAGGGGGAGGAGGAGGAGAAGAAGTAAAAAGAAATGCAGTGAAGATGCAGTGTTCATCCAAAACTCAGAGCTAATCTTCTTTGTATTAGTGTCTTGGAGGTGCGGATATATCTGTAGGAAGTAAACAGAATTATCCAAAGCAAACTTACTATTGCTGTCAGAGTAGGCTTTAAGCACAGGTAGACTATAAAGCCAAATATAGAATGAAAGATAGTGCTAAAACAAGCTATGGTCCTATCCTAAATTATTATTCTATCTTCTCAAACAGTTGTTTTCTTGAAATGATAGGATAAATTATGGAAGAAGATTTTGTCCATACAACTCCAGTCTTTCATTATTCCCTTCTTCTCAACTTTGTCCTTACAACTTTTATATGTGTCTACTCAGCAAGAATCTTTTCCTCTCTCAAATTCTGCTCCTCCATCTTTATACTTGACTCTGGCAGCATGAATTCTGTATGGCACTGGTTTCTCATAGACCTTCATAACGGTGCTGAAGATACACTGCTTTGTAATGTAATGGAGCATTTCATGTGCATAACTAGGCTATAAGAACTTAAAGAACACAGACTACTTATAAGTCTTGTGTGTTCCAAACAAAGGTTAACTTAGTAAAATATTTGTTCAACCCAGTATTCAGGATTGGATTGGAAAATAAAATAATGCACATGCATATTCTTCGCAATAAATTTATCAAGTCATGAAATTTGTCTTTTATCCAGTAGGAGAAAGAAGACAAATTATTAATCTCCATTGTTTTCTCATTTTAGATATTTCTATCCTTGGGTTTGATTTTTAAACTTAAGAGATACAGTGTATTTATACTACTTGAGGTTCACTTGAAATTTAAAAGGAATGGGACTATAGAATTAATTATTATTGTTTAAAATTTAAAAAAAAAATTTGACAAAAGGAGGACAGCTGCCTAAGACTAATATTTTTCCAATCTCCTAACAATGCAAATAGGACATAAACTGATATTTCCTTTATAATGAACATGTCAAATTGTCAGGAAACAAAGGCATTATTTGGACAAGGTAATTTTCAGGGAAGGACATGCTGCAAGGACATGCATGCAAGATAGCATCCTTACTATCGGTCATCCCAAGCATGAAGCTTCTGAGGGAGAAGTCAACCAGAGCTCCTGAAAGTAGAGTGGACAAAGGAAATTAAGATGCATCCAGTCGGGTGTACTAAATATTCTCATGGGATGAAGGAATTCCTCAAGAGCAATGGCATTCAAATAATAAATATGCAAGTGATTTATGATTTCAGGCTATTGTTCAAATAACATGAAGATCTGCAAAACATATAGCTGTGTCTCCCCCTACTGCCAATGCTAGAATTTAATAAAATAGCATTTTTAATTGATTATGCTATTACAGTTGTCCCAATTTTTCCCCCTTTGCTGCCCTCCACCCAGCACCCCCACTCCCTCAGGCAGTCCCCACGCTATTATTCATATCCGTGGGCCATGCATACAAGTTCTTTGGCTACTCCATTTTCTGTCCTGTACTTTACATCCCCATGGCTATTCTGTAACTGCCTTTTTGTATTTCTTAATCTCCTCACCTCTTCACCCATTCCCTCACACCCCCTCCCATCTGGCAACCATCAAAATGCTACCTGTATCCATGATTCTGTCTATGTTCTTCTTGTTCGCTTAGTTTATTTTTTTTAGATTCAATTGTTGACCGGTATATATTTGTTGCCATTTCATTGTTCATAGTTTTGATCTTCTTTTCTCAAAAAAGTCCTTTTAACATTTCATATAACAATGGTTTGGTGATAATGAACACCTTTAGTTTTTTATGGTCTGGGAAGCTCTTCATCTGCCTTTTGATTCTAAATGATATCTTTGCTGGGTAGAGAAATCTTGGCTGTAGGTCCCTGCTTTTCATTACTTTGAAGATTTCTTGCCAGTCCCTTCTAGCCTGCAAAGTTTCTTTTGAAAAATCTGCAGTCTAATGGGAACTCCCCTGTAGGTAACTTTCTACTTTTAAGATTCTCTCTTTATCTTTAAGCTTTGGCATTTTAATTAGGATGTGCCTTGGGGTAGGCCTCTTTGCATCCAACTTATTTGGGACTCTCTGTTCTTACTGGACTTACATGTCTATTTACTTCACCAAATGAGGGAAGTTTTCTTTCATTGTTTTTTCAAGTAGATTTCAATTACTTGCACTTTCTCCTCTCCTTCTGGCACCCCTATGAGATGATTGTTGGAAGACCTGAAGTTGTCCGAGAGGCTGGTTATACCATTCTTGGTTTGGTTTTGTTTTTAAATTCTTTTTTCTTCTTGTTCTGATTGGTTGTTTTTTGCTTCCTTATGTTCCAAGTCATTGATCTGATTCTTGGCTTAATCCATTCTACTGTTGTTTCCCTGTAAATTGTTCTTTGTAGTGTATCCTTTGTCTCTGACTGGATCTTTTTTATGTTGCTGAGGCCCTCACTAACTTCCTTGAGCATCCTTATAACCAGTGTTTCGAACTCTTCATCTGATAGATTGTTTATCTCCCTTTTGTTTCAGCATTTTTCTGGAGATTTGATCTGTTCTTTAATAGGGCCATGTTTCTTTGTCTCCTCATTTTGGCAGCCTCCCTATGTGTGTTCCTATGTATTAGAGAGAGCTGATTTAACTCCCTGTCTTGGTATCATGGCCTAATATAGTAGGTGTCCTGTAGGGTCCAGTGACACCATCTCCTCTATTACCCAAGCTTGGCACTTGAGGTACACCCTTTGTGTGGGCTGAGTATACCCTCGTATACTCAGTAGAATTGAGACTTGGTTGATATTGGCAGATCAATAGGAGGGTTTTACCCAAGCTAGTCAACTGCAAGGACTGGCTGTGACCACTGACCCCCAGCTGTGCAGGGGCAGGATAGTAGTGCTCCAATGTGGTCTGTAGCTGTCCACTGGGTGCCCTGGCCCTGGGCTTTCCTGGGTGGTGCAGGCCAAAGTCAGCCCTCACCTGCGTTTTGCCCAGGGCCGCCCTGCCTGAGCTTGAGAGCAATCTGAGGTGGCTGCTACTTGTGCTGGGCTTGGAAATTCCCAGGCAAAGCCAAGCTGTAAATCTAGGCTGGCTGCTGCTAGTGTCATGCCTGGGGCTCACTAAGGCCAGCTGTTTCTTATTTGAAAGGATTTAGGAAGTTGTGAAGCTTGAGCCCAGACAAGCCATTCATATGAAAAACCTGT